ATCTAGCTACTCTAAGTACCTTATGTAAGTGGAATCGGGCAGTATTTATCCTGTAGTGACTCATTTCACTACACTTATTTCAGTTAACACAATGTTATCAAGATTCATCCATGTTGTAGCACATAACAGTATTTCTCTACTTTTTAAGGCTAAATAATGTTCCATTTATACATATACTAGAGGCCAGGTGCACGAAACTCATGCCCGGGGGGCAGGGGGTACCCTCAGCCCAGCCTGCACCCTCTCCAATCCAGGACACTTGGGGGATGTACGAAACCGGCAGTCAGACATCCCTCTCACAATACGAGACTGCTGGCTACTAACTGCTCATTTGTCTGTCTGCCTGATAGCCCCTAACTGCCTCTGCCTGACAGTCTGATCACCACTAACTGCCCCCACTGCCATTCTGGTCGCCCCCAATTCCCCACCACCCCCAGCCGTCCTGGTCGCCCCCAACTGCCTCCTCTGCTGGCCTGGTTGCCCCTTAGTGCCATGCCTGCTGGGCTGGTTGCCCCCACCTGTCCCCTCCGCTGAACTGGTTGCCCCTTAGTGCCACACCTGCTGGCCTAGTTGCCCCCAACTGCCCCCTCTGCTGACCTGGTCGCCCCATGCAGCCTGCTGGTCAGTCATTTGGTCATCCCTTGCTAACACCCGACAGCCTGTCGCCTCATGCAGCCTGCTATTCAGTTGTTTCTGTGAGAGCATCATGACTAATTTACATATTATCCTTTTATTAGTATGATACCATATTTTGTTTATACATTTACCTATTAATGCACATTTGGCTTGCTTCTACCTCTCAGATATTCTGAATAGTGCTGTTATGAACATGGGTGTGCAAATATCTCTTCAAGACCCTCCTTTCAATTATTTTGGATATACCCAGAAGTAGGATTTTTGGATCATATTATAGTTTGGCTTTTAATTTTTTAAAGAACCTGTATAGTGCATTCCAGAACAATCGCACCATTTTACAATCTCACCAACAGTGCAAAAGCATTCCAGATTTTCCACATCCTCACCAATATTTATTTTCTGTTTTTTAAAGTAGCAATCCTAGTGGATGTGTGATAGGAATTTTGTATATGATCTCTTTCTTTAATCCTTAACAAACTTGTTGCAAAGTATAAGTACTAGTTTTACAGCAATGACATAATTTTTAAAAAAATATATTTTATTGATTTCAGAGAGGGAGAGAGGAAGAGAGATAGAAACATCAATGATGAGAAAGAATCATTGGCTGTCTCTTGCACGTCTTACTGAGGATTGAGCCTGCAACCTGAGCATGTGCCCTGACTGAGAAACAAACTGTGACTTCCTGTTTCACAGGCTGATGCTCAGCCATTGAGCCACACCAGCCAGGCACAGCAATGACATCTTGATACTAAAAGTTTCCATAAGAGAAAAACCAGATTTCAGTCCTAGTGCTCCTGAACTTGACAATGGGTCCACATTATCACAGAACTCAAGCTCTTGAGTTCTGAGCTACAAGATTTATAAGGTATTAGGGACTCTACAAGATTGGCTGACTTTAAATGTGAAGTGAGAGCTTGAGATTTACAGCAGGAGCTCTCAAAGTGTGGTCTCCAGGCCAGTAGCATCAGCCTTCTTGGGAAATTGTTAGAAATGCAAATTCTCAGGTCTCACCCCAGACCCACTAAGTCAGAAACTCTGGAACTGGGGACAGCAATCTGTTTTAACCAGCCCTCTTGGCCAGGCTGATTCATGATCAGGTTTGAGCACCACTGGGCTTAAATTATTCTGAAAATATCCAAACTACTGTTTAATAGCCTTTACATTTTTGCCAAGCAGGAAACTGACATGTTGAGTGTGGAGGTTTCTAGGGCAACCTGATATAGTAAATCTGTATTTTGTGCTTTATGTTCCAGTTTTTAGAAAAGTGTTGGATTAACTGAGTGTAATTATGCTGTAACAGTAGTTCTCCATCTATTTGGAGATGTGGCCAGACTCCAATTTGCTTAGGAACAAATGGTGACCTGGGAAAAGAAATCCTAACCAGGAAGGCCTCACGCAGCTCAGCATGTGTCTGTAATCTGCCAGGATTTTCATCCCCACCCACAGCCAACTCCCTACTCTTTGTCTCACATTACAATGAATGGGTACCCAGTGAGCCCTGGAATAAAGGAACTGAAGTAAAAAGAGACAGAAAAGGGAGCAAACACGCCATAACCATTCCTCCCATCAGTATCAGCAGCCCACCCTCAGCCCCTGGCACCAGGTGGCCGCATCTAATTCCTCTGTCCCTGTGAAGAAAAGAACAGAGATTCACTGGTTACACTCTCCTCAGAAAAATTGAGAATCTCATTTTAGCCCTGGGTGAGAGTTGCAGTTTATGCCTGTTGACTTAGCACAATTATTAATAAAATACACCCAGAATTATCCCAGCTTAAATAATAAAAAATTCACCTTTCTAAAAATCTACTTTGTCTCTTAAGTGGGCCCCTGATACCTCTAAGTGAAAAGAGAGATCTTTTGGAGGAATACGAATCTATGAGACCGTGTTCAGTGCAGCTTGGGGGCCTTGATTGTGGGGAAGAAGGCAAAGGAGTTCATTCCCGGGGCTTCATGGAGGGAAGGATGATGTCTGAGAATGGGCTTGAACTATTAAATTGTGGCCCCCAACATTCCGGTGTTTCCACCCATGTTTTTTATCCATTCACCCTTCTGCCCCATCTTGTCAAAGCCCCTTCTACAGGTTGCTGAGAGGAGGACTGAAAGTAAACCCTGTTCCTAAAATATATTTGGTGGAACGGCTAAAAACATGGTGACTGCGTTGTTTTATAAAGACATCCTTTTTAAAAATTCTTCAAATCTGCTTTAGGTGTTACTAGGAATTTAAGACTAGAAACACATTTAAACTGACACCATGTCCTGGCTGAAGTTACCTGCCCACAGTATGTTCCAATAATTTAACAGCCTCAAAAATATCTGATCTGCATGAACACTCTTAGCAAGGATGCATAAGCCCAATCAGCATTCCCCTGCACTCTAAACATACGCATCGGTGCACACCGACAATGCAAGACTGACTTAAAAGATCGTGTAAGTCAGCAGTGATATTCAAGATAACTGGATGTTTGCCCAACCACACTGAATCTTGAATGTTTTTTTCTCCTCATCTTAAGACATGCCAATGCTATATCGCAATATCTGACACTTGGTTTGTCTTCAACGTTAACTCTGCGATAAAAGTTGATCAATAGTCAGCCTCATTTTCCCCATTTCCTGGCCAACTCAATAAATCTGTCTCCTTTAAAGAAAGGAGAATGCACACTAACGTTGATCCTGCATTTAACTTACCTCAACCTAAAAAATAAAAAACTACTTGAACGCCATTGATTTTGTTCCTTTGTCCTCTTGTGAATTAGATTACAGTGCTTCCACTTTCTAAGTAAACTTTTTTATCATTGATTAATTCTCAGGGGCTAATTGACTTACATTTACTGAAAGACCCAATATCTTGATTTTTAGAATGTTAAACTATAAGACTAGAAAAATGGCGTATGTGTGTATAACATTTTTGTAGATACAGAATATTAAATTATATATTTATTCCAATCTTACAATCTCCCAAAGGAACTCCAGTGTTCACAGATCTCTAAAACAGAGGGTAGATGAAAATACCACTAATTGTATTTTTATTTTTGATAAACTGTTTTAAAATCTGTTCTGGAGATGTTAGCTAGGATTATTTGTGAAACAGCTGCTGTTTTCAAAACGCCTGGTGGTATGAATTTAACTTGCCTGCAGCCACAATGGAAGCATTTCCACAGAATCAGAGTGTAGTATGTGATTACATAGCTCCCAAAGCTGACTTCACTGGTCCAGGTGGCACTGGACCTGCTACCCCACTCCAAGACGGAGTGATCAAACTTCGCCTGACTTAGAGCAAGAAAATTAGTAATGAAATGGGCCTTTCTGTTTTTATGCTTATAATTCTCCCAAAAAGTCCTTACAAGATCAACCCAATAATTTTACTTTTTCAGTAGAAACAAGCCTTAATAGGTATTAATATACTACCAATGTGGTAATTAAAAAGTTATTAGTAACAAGGAAATAGCATGGCCATATTTAGAAAACATGCTCAGAAATTCTTCTTATTCAAAACGTTTTCAATACCTAAGCTTACTTCCTTCTATTAGAAAGGGAAAAATTTAAAGAGAATTAATTTCTAATAAATAACCGTTCTTTAAAGGATATTAGGTAAACAATTACAATTTTAAACGTTAGCATGATCTTATTTTTCTAACTCTTACAATTGGAATTTAGCTGGCTGTAAATTTGGGGGAGTTAACATTCAGTTACAATAATGAAAATTAATAAGCAAGTATACGTTTTAGTTCCCTTATAAAAGAGCTTGACTACCCAAAGGGAAGAAAAGAGTTCATTAATGTACTTTATACAGTATATATAATTATGATATGACTTAGGGAAGCGCTTTTCAAACTTTAGTGAGCATAAGAATTACCTGAAGTGATTTTTAAAATGCAGATTCACAGCTTCCTTCCCCAGAAATTTTAAACCAGTAAGTCTAGGTCGGAGCCCATAATATCATTTTTAGCATCCAGTCCCATCCTCGGGCAACTCGTATAAAATTAGAATTCAGACCACTCTTTGAGAAACACCAATTTAAGATGACAAATGCAGGTACTATTGCATCTGAAACCACGGAATCATCAGATAAAATGCCAATCTTAGGTCATCTTTCAGGTACTTTATACTATTTTATTAGAGTATTAGGGGTTGCTAATGACAATTAAGATTTATTCATTCCAGGCACTGTTTCTCTCATCTTGATTGTTAATATCTGGCTCATAACTTTCAGGCTTCATTGATGTTTAAAGGTCATGTGGATTTGGAATGTTGTTGTTTTTTAACTTTTAATTTTTACTGTCTTTAACATTGCCATTTAATATTGTCTCATCTTAAAAGAAAATGGAGTCACATCATTTATTGTCTGTTTCTCTTTTATTTTTAAGGGAAGACGAGGAAAAACAGGTCCCCCAGGAAAACCAGGACCCCCAGGACCCCCTGTGAGTAAACAATAGGATGACTGTTTTTTGCAGAGAATCCCTCTTTATTTCTGTGTGTTTATCTATGGGCTATTTTACTCCCTGGTAGGTAATAATTTACATCTTTCTACTGTTGAAAATGGTTGCACTGCCTATACCTCCTACCACCTCATCAACCAAAAGATAAGGGAGGCTGGTATCAATAGTTGTCTACACACCTCACCTGCATCTCATTACACTGCAGAAACAACTATACTGCCTGCATGAGCACTCTAAGCCAAGGCTCCATTACATGAATCCTGTTACAAACCCACCTGACTCCATCTCCTCAATTTCTTAATAGCCAGGCTGGTAGTGAGATCTCTGGGGAAGCATGCCCCGTTTCTTGATACATTATTTCGTTAGTAAAATTTCATTGAATGTTGTTGCTAACGAAAACTATAAAGATCTTCTAGCCAATTAGTGGTTCTTTTCCTTTATTCCAAGCTTCTCGAAAAAGTATTTCATTTCTTGTGGTTCTACTGACTCTTTAACCCACTAGAATCTGGTTCATGTCTAAGCTACTCCACTGCAACTGCCATCTCTGTAGTCACCAATGGTCTTTACAGTGTGAGATTCCCAGGACTCTTTTCAGGCTCCATCTTATTTTGCTGCTAGATAGGAATTCTCATTGTTGACTGCTGCCTCCTTGAAACTCTCTTTTCTCTTGATTTAGTGACATTGACCTTTTTTCCTCCTACCTCCGGGACCATTCTTTTTCTTTTTTTCTTTTTCTTTTTCTCTTTCATTAACAACATTCCCTTGCCAGCTGGCCAGCAGACATGAGCAGTGGATAAATGGATTATTCTGGCATGTTTGTGAAAGAGATGCTAAGGGACTGCCTGGCTATAACAACCAGACAGCCCCGATTGCCTGCCTCATTCGGCTTTTATTGCAGTTTTTATCTATAAATACAATCAGTGGGGTGAATTATTTGGGAGAACATATGTGTTTACATTGTCCTCAAGACAAGGGCACCCAAAGATTAGGCATAAGGATTCCAGTAAGTACCTGGGGTCTGCACATGCCCAGACTTGTTTGGAAAGGTCAAGGAATAATTAGGGACTCCGCCTTCAGAATTCCCCTGTCTCCCTTAAGTCAGAATTTCTATAAACAGGGAAGGCAACTTTCCATACACTTCCCTTTTCTCAGAATGTTCTCCTTACAAACTTTCTAACCAAGTCTCGTGTGCTCCCCAAGATTCCCTCTTTCCCTACCTTTTTGCCCCATGGATTAAAGATTCTCAGTCTTTTCAACCCAGACATTCCTCCTGAGTTCCAGCATCTCCACTTGGAGGTCTCCTATGTACTACATAGTAGAAGGCCCCAAACTCTCCCTCATCCCCCACATCAAGATAGTGCCTAAATTATGTCAATTCTACATCCCAGTAACCCATGAACCTTCTCTTCCTTCTCTCTTTCCTCATTGCCACTGACATAGTTTAGGCCCTTATCGATTCATAGCCATCTCAGAGCTGGTTTCATTGCCTCTACCTTCTATAAGCAGATGAATATTTCTAAATCATTACCCTGACCATGTAACTTTTTGGCTTACAACTGTTTAATAAGTTCTCTTTTCTTCAAGAAGAATCCCACATTTTCTGTATGCCATACTTGACCCTTCGTAGTTTGCCCTGGACCCATCTTTGCCTATGCTCCAATGTGCCCTTCCTTCATTTGCAATTTACAGTGTAATCATCTTTTACTATCTCAAAAACGCCATGCTTCACAATGTTCTCCCACAGAACTAAAAAAGCATCCCTCTGTCTTCATGATTCAGCTCAGACATCAGTTCTCCTTCATGGCTTTTGCCAGGGGCTCTCAGTAAGTGTGATGTCATCTTCCACGATCCTATAACATTATCCTTCCTACAGATATAGCACATGATTTTGCAACTGTTATTTTCCTTATTTGTCTGCCCACTGCACTATGAATTTTTAAACCTCTATTTTGTCACCATTGCCTAGCAAAATTTTTGGCATATAGCATGTGGTTATTAATTACTTGATGAATAAGTAAACAAATTAATGTATTTTGTAGATGAGAAAATGAAGACCAAAAGTAAGGGACTTTTTAAAGTCCTGAACCACCATTAGAAGACTCAGGGCAGACCTAGAACTTTGAGACTCCAATAGGGTGTGGTTCATGTGCCAAAAATGATTGCTGTCCTGTTATGAATTTCATTTCATCCACTTTAGCCATTCAAGGGAATTGTTCTGCCAGTAATGTACTGGTGTCCGTTGATATTGATTATAAAAGTAAGTGGGGGTTAACAAAAGAGGCATGAATTTGGCACCCTGGAATCTAGTCTTCAAAGGAATCAGCTTTGTTGATTTTTATTCCAAGGTCTCTGGCAAAACAGAGAACACATTATAGGATTCTCAATAATTGTTTTCTGCTACAAAGAAAACCTGGTGAATGCTAAAAGGCAAGATTAGACTTTCATATGTTTTCTGAATGTATGATGCTGCAGTCAAGACAGGATAATTGTTTTCTCGAAGAAGGAATTTGAATTTGAAGGCCTTTATGACAAGCTTGCCAAATGTCCAAGAGAGAAAAGGATTACACCAAATCCTGGAATGAGTTCTCAACTACAGATCAAATGATTTGACTAGAGAATTTAGAAGATTAAAAAAATGCAACTAGAAAATTCTACAGCAAGAAGCAAGGAGAAAAACCAGAAGGAGGCGCGGAGGAGCTAGAAAAGCCCAAGGTACAGAGACGCAGCGCACAGAGAGGATGGAGCCAGAGAGGAGGGAGGCCGAGTGCCTGGCGGGTGTTCCCTAGCGGGAAGGAGATAAAACTCCGATTGTGCTGGGCCCCCGACTGCTCTGAACCCCAGTTTTAAGCCAGATCCCAGAGACTCAGGCTCAGCCATAAGGAGCCAGACTGTAAGGCGGAACCCCGGGGAGAGGCGAAAGGAGGTCCCGGAGGCGTGCACACTGCGCGCAGAGAAGGGACAGTCGGCTGTGCCGCGGGATTGCCCTGACGGGAAGGAGACTGGGGCTCCAGACTGCTCTGAACGCCACCTCCAACTCCACTTCCAACTGAACTGAACCCCAATACCGGGCTCATTGTGGGAGAGCATAGACTGTTTGGCAGCAGGCGAAAATCGAGGGCACCTTTCTCTCAGAGGCGCCGGCAGCGAGCACTGAAGGACCCGCATAGGGCAGGGCTGACAGAAGCCAAAGCTGCAGGCTCCACCCTGAAACCCTGTCCCATCTGTAACTGCGAAATGCGACAACAAAATAGATCACAAACGAAAGAAATGGAGGACAAAAAGCGTCTGGATATAGAGTTCAAATCTATGCTTGTAAGGTTTTTCAAGAATTTCCTAGAAAAGATGGATAAGACCTATGAGGATATGAAAAGAGATCAACTAGAATTAATAAGGAGTCAATAAGAAATGATAAGGGATCAACAAGAAATAAAGAATACATTGTCTGAAATAAAAAATATTTTACAGAGTCCTAAAAACAGAAGGGAAGATCGCAAGAATCAAGTCAAAGATTTGGAACATAAAGAGCCAGAAGACACTCCTCCACAGAAGCTAGAAGGCAAGAGAATCCAGAAAATTGAAGATAATGTAAGAAACCTCTGGGAAAACTTCAAGCGAACCAACATCAGAATTATGGGGGTCCCAGAAGATGAGAGAGAGCAAGATATCGAAAACATACTGAAAGAAATAGTGACAGAAAGCTTTCCCCACCTGGTGAAAGAATTAGACTTACAAGTCCAGGAAGCGCACAGAACTCCAAACAAAAGGAATCCAAAGAGGACCACACCGAGACACATCATTATTAAAATTCCAAGAGCAAAAGACAAAGAGAGAATATTAAAAGAAGCAAGAGCAAAGAAGGTAGTAACCTATAAAGGAGCACCTATACGATTGTCAGCTGACTTCTCAACAGAAACCATGCAGGCCAGACGAGAATGGCAAGAAATATTCAAGGTGATGAATAGCAAGAACCTACAGCCAAAAATAATCTACCCAGCAAAGCTATCACTCAGAATCGAAGGCCAGATAAAGAGCTTCACTAATAAAAAAAAGCTAAAGGAGTTCATCACCACCAAACCAGAATTATATGAATTGCTGAAGGGGGTTCTTTCAGAAGAGAAAGTAAACAAAGATAAAAATTATGAACAACAAATACGTAACTATCAACAAGTGAATCTAAAAACCAAGGAAATTAAAAAAATTTGATGAACAATATTAACTGTTGAATATAATAGAATCAGAGGTATGAAAGGGGAGTGAACTGACGATTCTTGGGGAAAAGGGGAGAGGGGGGCATGGGAAGAGACTGAACATAAACTGTGCACGTATGGATGAGGACAATGGGGAGAGGGGAAAGGGCAGAGGGTGGGGTGGGAACCTGGTGGAGGAGAGCAATGATGCGGGGGGAAAAAAGGAACATTTGTAATAATATGAACAATAAAAACTCATTTAAAAAAAAGTATAAAAAAATGCAACTATATGAAAATATGTATAATATTCAATTCCACAGGTTTTAGTTTATTTCCAAAATGTTTGGATAGAGAGGTATTTATTTTATTTCAAATATTAGATTTATAGCTTAAACTCAGCTATGGGTCTAATATACAGTAGCATTGAATTCTAAGTCTACAGTATTTAAAAGAAAAATGTTTTTTTTTTATCCTTTATAATATTATAAGATACCAATTTGTTAGACTACAAAAATAAGGGGAGGAAACTAAGCAAAAAAAGAGAAGATTTTTTATTATAGGTCAGTTTTCACTTAAAAGAAAAAGTAAGATACTAGACCATCAGCTCACTTTTTGTTTAAGAATTATGGTTTATGGAAACTCCTTGTTTTTTTTTTTTTATTCTGAAATAACTCTTCTAGTTGACTAAAATATCTTTTCATGAATTATAAAAACTATGTCTTGGGGTATAGTTTATATCAGTTGTTGTGTTTTTCTGAAGTTATTTGCATGTTCGGTTGAATTGATGATGTGCAT